TGCTTAAGTGACTGCAATATCTTCATGACGTAAAATGTAATTCCTAGTTTCCAGCATTGATTTTCAAGATGAAGCTTGAATGTAGTACATATAATTTTAATTTCCACCACGTTGTCTAATAAGTTCCTGAAGCAGAATGTGTAATTTGTTCAAGTTTCAGAGCAAAAACCATTACTGGAATCATGGCATACTTTATATTGAAATCATGGTTAGATCACCATTAGAAACCTGGAATAACTGGATGGCCGTTTCTTCCTAGTATGGAACCCATAAGCAGTGCGCATCCATCACTCCTGCTATTTGCAGGATTCGAACCTAAGACTTTAGGTCTCATGCGCGAATGCTTAACCTCTGGACTACTGGGCTTCCAGCATCCAACGATTTTAACATTTAAGTTTGGTCAATCTCAGGATTTTGTGCAACCTCACCCATTGTCTTCGGTAGTTACTGTCTACACCCAACACGGATGAACGCTGCTGTTTACTGCTTCTCACTTGAACTCTGAGATATCCTTACGAAGCTAGCACATTTCATGATATTTAATCATAGATTTATGGAGATCTTTATTTTGCATTGAGATCGTGAATAAATAAATAAATTGTTAGAGCGACAAAAATTAGACATTAACACTGTTGTATGCAGGCTCATTAGTTCAGAGATTAAGCGTTCCCGTGCGAGATCGAAGCTTCTTGAGGTTCGATTCCCGCGAGTTGAGTTAATGAATACACACTGCTGACGAGTGCCATACTACTAACTGATGGCCATCCAGTGCTCCCAAGTTTCTTATGATGGTTGAACCATGATACAACAATATTTATAACTCTCTATCGAAAAATCATTGCACAACTAGTTGGTGAGATTTCAATGGAATCAATTATATTTTCCTGGATTTTATATTAAAGCTGATCACTTTGTGGAGCGCATTACTTATAAGTAGCATATGACGCGAGTGTAAACGTAATGTCTGGCAGCAGAAGATGGGGGAAGATCAAGAAAGGGAGAAAGAGTGGGAACACGATGGAATTTGTATGAAACGCATGAATAGTGAAATGTCAGACAGTCAGTCAGTCAGTCAGTCAGTTGCAACGTAGAACTTCGTACGTACGTAAGTACATCAGTTCGTGTCGCCATAACACATCAGCAAAAAGATATAATTGTCAATTCAAATCCAATTGTAGAAGAGGTAGTAAAGGTATTAGAAGTAATCGGAGAGGTTACGATTAGAAGATATTATTCAAGAAGTATGATTCAGTGAGAAAAGTTCAGAAAGTCATAACCAGAGTTGTTGAAGAATCCAGAAGATTAGGATTTGAGTGAACACAAAAAATAAATGCACCGGCGCCATTGCGAACGGTTTCGAGCCATGTCATTCAAGGTCTCTAACCATCGATTATTGCTGTCTCACGGAAACCAACCAGGTAGTCGACAATTATCGACATGGCTAAGTCCACTTGTCAATGACTTCATGGATTTGTGCCATGTTTTGGTTTGGCCGCCCCTAACTTTCTTCTAACCTACTCCTACACTACAAAACAAAGCTCGACGAGGCAGTCGGTGGTTAGGCGTACACGCCACATGTCCTAACCATCTCAACTGATGAAGTCTCATTACTTCATCTATTGATCTGCCATCCCTACCTAGCACCCGATTCCTAATAACAGCATTGTTCACTCGGGTGTGCCAGGATATACGAGTAATGCTTCGAAGACACCTATGATCAAAAACCAGTAACCTACCAATATCTTCTACTCTCATTGGCCATGTTTCACAGCCATAAAGTAAGACGGTGCGAACTACTGCCCAGTACACTCGTCATTTAGTCAGCAAACGGATATCTCGCCTACGCTATTAGTGATGCAAGTTGGCAAACGCCAATCGAGCCTTCTGTATCCGAGCTGAGATTTCGTCAGTCACCAGGCCATCAGCACTGATGAGACACCCAAGATAAGTGAAGCCGGTCTACACGTTCGACTACTTCACTCCCTATCACTAGTTCAGGTGCCGATGTCAGACAATGGATTGATGATGATGGGTTGAAGATTTGCAAATTAACCGTTTACGATATGATTTTCCTAATTTTACTGAGTAACTAACTCTGTAATTTTTTTTCATTAAATATAATTCGATTGCCCTAACCTGTGTGTTCTCCTTCACAAACAACTTAACTAAAATCTACCAAACTTTACAAGCGCTTATCTAGATAAATAATTGTAATAATACTCAAGTAAAAAATTAAAGAAAATTCGATTATTTGAATCAGATTAAATAATTTATTAAAAATATTATTCAATTAGACTAAAGAAAGATATAATTTATAGGGAAATGAAAATGATTGAGTATAATAATAATAATAATAATAATAATAATAATAATAATAATAGTAATAATAATAATAAACTACTCAATAACTGGCAATTTGAAATCATCCATCCTCTTATCAGTTCACTTGCATCTGTTATATTCGACATATTGATATACAGTAAATAATAAACCTTACAACTAGGTTTACTTAAATTCTTTTTTTTTAAAAAAACAGTACGTCACATCTCATTACATTTATCAGTCTATATATATCTGTGTGGACACGTACATATATACATATACACTTTGGCCAATGTAATCAGACTATACAATCAAAACTTATGGAAAGTGTGTCTTAAATAGCTTCAAAAATCAGTTAATGTTAAATGATTCGATAAACTGGGGAAGTAGGAAAGTATGTTAATCGACGGAAAAAACACATAATCGTAAAGGGACATAGAATTGGCATATATATACAGCCTACAAAACGTCGTGCAGAAATTGTCAACAATGAATTCTGAAGTTTATATGATAAAAGAAGCCTTGGCTAGTCACTAATTCAAACCCTCTGTGTATGTGTACTTGTCTCGACCGTAGCTGCTACCTTGACGTGGTGGTCGGGCTTGACTATCGTGATAACCAAATCGAGCTATATTGGCTGGAACATATGTTCCTGTAGGTTCTACCATGCCAGGCAGATCGATTGAAGAACGATGAGACTAAAAGCAGCTACTCAAGGTCAGAGGGCGAAGTCGTGCTGCTGACTGCAGATACGTGTGACAGCAGTAAGGTGTTTCCCTCACACAACCAGCATCTGCAGCGAGGCTGACTTCGCACAAGGAAGGTGGGGGGGGTTAAAAAGGTCGACCCTAAAAATGTCACACCTCACCCTACCTCACGGATTTCCGTCTCCGGTGGTAAGGGTGCCCACTAAGGGCCTTTAAGAACGGAGCTAATACTCAAAAAACCTTTCATAAAAAGGCCGTGCGTGACCGGCCTCAAGCAGTTGTCCCTTGGACTCTGCGGTCACGCACACAGGTCTCCAAGACCAACACTAATTTACCTTCCTTTTCAGGTCCCTTAAGAAACAACCTCCCATGGTGTGGGCAACCGAGAAGTGACAACCGCCCTCATACCCGTAACAGCACACGAGACGAAAATGGTCACAATCAAATCCTTCCTCACCCACACACACCTCTCTTCTCTGACATGTGCTGCGTGTGCCTAACCACCGACTGCCTCGATGAGCTTTGTTTTGTAGTGTAGGAATAGATTGGAAGAAAGTTAGGGTTGACCTTGAATGACATGGCTCAAAACCGTTCGCAGTGGCGCCTATGCATTTATTCTTTGTGTTCTCTCAAATCCTAATCTTCTGGATTCTTCAACACCTCTAGTTTTGTCTTTCTAAACTTATCTCACAGAATAAACTTATTGAATAATATCTTCTAATCCTAACCTCTCCAATAACTGCCAATACCTTTAATACCTCTTCTACTATTGGATTCGACTTGAAAATTACATCTCTGTGCTAATAATGTGGTATGGCAACATGAACTGATGTACTTACATACGAAGTTCTACGTTGCATCTAGCTGACTGATAACTTCCTTAAATGTTTGACATTATTTATGCAATCTCACCGTAAATCTTCTCTCTGTGTTGGAATTTTTTACCAATAAATTTTTGCGATTCTGTAATTATTTACTGCAATCTATTTGTTAAATAAATTCACTCTCATCCTCTTTATTCACTGCATTAATACCGACTATTCCTCAGAAAATAACTGGACTATGGTAACACAGTTGTAAGTATATCTCAGTCCACAAATTAGACTATATTTTGGAGCTCATTAGTTAAAGCTCACCCCCCCCCACCCTTACGTGAAGATACTTTAAACTAACACTATCCTTGATAAATGTAACTAATTTGAATAGCATCTAACCTGAACATGAAAACCTGACTGATCTATCGTTGTAAGTATTGCTCTCATTGTTCTGTGCTCTTTGTTTTCGATTTCAATTCTCTCTAATTGTACATAGTTTTAACCAATCCAATATAACAGTTGAACGATATTTCATACTTTGTCCATACAGTATCAAGATATTTAGTTGAAAAGCATTAATCAGCCTCAACTGACACCTTGCATTACTTACTGTTGATACATATTAAAAAAATGTACTTCTTGAATAATTTTCAATCTAGTAAACACTTCAAACAATACATAACAAGATGGCATACCTATCCTTCAACATTGAACATGTCTAACTGTATCAAGCCTACATCATTAAAACGGCAACAATTACTGCACAAGTGATTGGCTTAGGACAATAATAATAACAATAGCCAATAACATCATTTGCAAAAAAAATCAATATTATCGATCAATGGGTATGAGTAGTATGAGTAGTAAAAAGGGTGGAAGGTGTTAATATCAATATTCAATATTGACATTTAGATCACACGCAGAGGAGTGACATTCATTCAGTAAATACTCCCCTATTAAAGCATAACCCTGGATTATATTTTACATAATCAACGTGAACAAGTATATTGATTCTATGGGGATTTCAATGAAACCGCTTTTTTTTCATCTGTAAAAAAAACAATATGATCAAATTTCAAATGACACGTCTGATTGTATTTTGATCTGGTGGTACTGGTTGATGGAAATAGAAAAAGAATGTTTAAAATAAGCTTACCAGTTGATTTGTTCGATTCTTCAATTACTTGAAATAGTTCAACTAAATTAGGATCATCTCCTTCTGTGGAAAAAAATATATATATGAGAAAGTCGATTGAACATTTCTTCTAAATTAACATATATATATTTCAATGATTACATGAAGTAGTCATTTTTTGGTGATTAGTGACTAGCTTCATGAGGAATCATCTCTTGTGGTGCGAGCTACTTATAAGTAGTATATGACGTGAGTGTAAACGTAATGTCTCCCAGCAGAAGATGGGGGAAGATCAAGAAAGGAAGAGTTAGAAGAACACAATGGAATTTGTATGAAATGCATGAATAAGTGAAATGTCAGACAATGGATTGATGATGATTGATTGAAGATTTGCAAATTAACCGTTTACGATATGATTTTCTTATTTTACTGAGTAACTCTGTAATTTTCGTTAAATACAATTCGGTTGCCCCACCTGTGTTCTCCTTCACTACACTCTGAGTTCTAGTGAGAAGTCGTGACCAGTGGAGTCCGATCCTGTTCGGGTGTAGACAGTATACTACCGAAGACAGTGTATGAGGTTGTGCGAAACCGTGAATTGATCGAAGTTAGACATTAACACCGTTAGATACCGGCTCAGTGGTCCAGAGGTTAGAGGTTCGCACGCAAGACATAAGGTCCTGGGTTCGAATCCAGCGAGGTGCAGGAGTTGTGGCTGCGCGCTGCTGATGAATCTCATACCAGAACGAAATGGCCATCTTTTAGTGCTTCCAGGTTTCTAATGGTGGTCTAACATTGATCGACTCATGATTTCAATGAGTCACTTAACAATCTCCACAACCCCAACATTCATTTTAGATTAGTAAGATACTTCTAGTTAGTGTATATCTGTGACCTTTCCTAGGAGTAACATACTATTTACGTCATTATTATAGTAATTGTAAAATCCATAATTTCCACAGTTAATCTGTTTCTAATCTACACAGTTTTCAATCTACGTTGAAGTTAGTGTTTACAAGAAACGAAGTGTTTTTTGGAAATATTTACGATGATCTTAGATAGTATTCATTTCCGTTCCATGATCGCGTCAATCAGTATGCACAGTGTGAAAAGGTCAATTCGACTCATCTCGCTTACATGACTGTCAAACTCATTATTATTAGCAATGGTGAGATGTAATACAGCACCCCAAAGACAATGGCCCTTGAGAATGTTGCAAAACAACCACCAGTAGTATCAATGAAATCGGTCACCCTGTTAACTAGTTTTGTATATGGACTGTTAGCAATACTTGCCAAAGCAATGCCAAGCCATCCACAATGTTCATCACAGCGAACCTCTAGTCTCATAGGAAACCTTCAGCTCTATATAACAGCATAGCATATGGTGTACACATATATAATGGCGTAGGATAGTAAAAGAGGCAGCACAGCTAGATGCAAACAGGCTCAAACACTTCTATTACCCTTTGTCTCATGTCCGGTAATGATATTTTCGCATTTTCGATAGATGGTAGATAGTAATAGAAGTTCACATACCATTCATTCACCGACGTCCACAGGAGATAGTAATCTGTCTTCATATTATACTGAAATATTGACAAAAGTACCTGGATTAATTGTTGTTCTGGCTAACAATGAATTTATGTTTCCTCCTACTTGAAACTCATCATCCGTGTATGTATTTACATGCCTGTATGAATGTTTCTATCTGGATTGGAACACAGTTTTGGATCTCAGAAAATTGGATACTTAAAAATTCTTTACCAATTGTTAACAATAGTACTATCAAATGATTACACTCAATATCAATGAATCTTTTCACGAATTGGAGATATATCATTGACAATAATGTTTCGAATATTATACGGGTTTTCTATTATTTACCTAATACAACCACGTAATATAAATTCACATGTGTTGTCATTACTATTCTTATGAGTTTCCGGTAAATATTGCCTTTTTATATCATGCTTAGTTAAATCTCCTACTGTGGTGCTGTGGTGTGAGCTACTTATAAGTAGTATATGATGTGAGTGTCAACGTAATGTCTGGCAGCCAAAGATGGGGGTGAGATCAAGAAAGGAAGAGTTAGAAGAACACAATTGAATTTGTATGAAACGCATGAATAGTAGTGACAATGGATTGATGTTTGGCAACAGGAACAGTCCACTTCCAGAGGATGAACTGATCTTTTGCAAATGAACGATTTACGATATGGTTTTCCGATTTTACTGAGTAACTCCGTAATTTTCGATTAATACAATTCGGTTGTCCCACCTGTGTTCTCTTTCACTACGCCCTTATCATATTTGTGAATTAACAGTATGATTTCAAAAGGATCATTACACAATGAACATAAGCCAACAACAGATTGCTTAATCTCCAGTCTTAAACACCAATGACAAGAACTGAACAATCAATACAAGTCAATCAATCAGTCAATAGCAACGTAGAACTTCGTACGTATGTACGTACGTACACCAGTTCATGTTGCCATACCACATTAGCACAGAGATATAATTGTCAATTCAAATCCTATAGTAGTAGAAGGAGTAGCAGTATTAGCGGTAATGAAGAAGATCAGGGTTCGAAGATAATATTCAGAAAGTATAATTCAGTGAAATAAAACTAAAAAGGAAAAGGCAAAGGTGATGAAAAATCCAGAGGATTAGTATTTGAAAGGCGCCAAAGAATGAATGCATCTGCGCCATTGCAAACGATTTTGAGCCATGTCATTCCAGGTCTCTAACCATCGATTACTATCATCTCACGGATCCCAACCAGGTAATCGACAGCTACCAACATGGCTCAGTCCGCTTGTCAGTGACTTCATGCATTCCTGCCATGTTTTGGTTTGGCCGCCCCTAACTTTCTTCCAACCTATTCCTACCCTATAAAACAAAGCTTGAGACCGATTACGCACGGTCGCAAAGCATAGTAAGAATACAAGTGAATTATAACAGAATGTTTATTTCACTACCATGAACAGGAAAAATTATTATTTTCTGTTCTAACATTGAAAAAAAAAGACTTATTGATTAATGGACTATTGGGAATTGAGCATAAAATACATTGGGAAAATATTTGTGTTGTAGAAAAAAACGTTTTCTCTTTTCTTTTTTTCGGTGTATTGATTTTTATTCAAATGAAAAATTTGACAATTGCATAAGTTCTTCTCAGACTATAAGTGAATGTCACACGCACACACACTCACACACTATATATATATATATATTCCGTTAACCTAATAAAACTCTTGCGTCTTTGCCAATTATGTTCATAAAATGTTAAACGATTACGGGTAAGCAAATGAAAAGTATGTAAAAATATGTAGTTCAGAAGATGCATATGTTTCCAGGTGGTTCAAGGTCCCGAACCAGCCTTTTACGATTGTCTTGCGGATCCCAATCAGGTAGTCTACACCGATTAACATGGCATAATCCACTTGCCAGTGACTTCATGGATATGTGCCATGTTTTAGTTTGGCCATCCGTAGCTTGCTTCCAGCCAACATCTGCATTACAAAACATTGCTCATTGAGGCAGTCGGTGGATGAGCATACGTAAAACATTTCTATTGTAATGCTTGCTTAGATAATTCCCAGCTAAGTCCTATTGCTTAGTATTCTCTGACCACAATACACTGGACAAGTTCCAAAGAATCAAAAACATGGTTGAACAGGAAAATATTATATTCCAAATAGCAAGGTTAAATAGAAATAAGAAGCCAAAGGTGATGCCGAAGGCGAAGGCAAAAATAGATACAACGTTAGTCTATTTATAGCATTTACATGACAATGCTTTTGGATAGAAATTCACGTGATCGACTGGATTAGATTTAACCAATCAGCATGCAGCCAACAGTACGAGAATCTTCTATCCTGTTCTCCAAGAATCGATCAGGCGCTGATTGGATAGGAAATTAGCCAATCAGCGTGTAGCAACGTAGTCATGCTTTAATTCATCTATGTTCCCCCTAACAATGTCCCAACTACCACAACTGATAAAGATTGAACCGATTTGTCAATTGCTTTGCCATCCCTACCTAATACCCTATTCCTAACACCAGCATTGCTTACTCGACTGTCCCATAATATATATGAGCAATGCTTCGAAGACACCTCTTATTGAAAACCTAGTAACCTACGAATATCCTCTACAATACTGGTCATATTTTACAACCAGGTAGAGAAGCGGAGCGTCATTTGGTTAGTCAACAAATGTCTCACCTACGCCATAAGTGACGTAACTTGAAAAAAGCCAACTCAGCATTCTGTGTTCAAGATAGACTCTCAAAGTAAGTTTTTGACGTTGTATAGTATTATTAAATTAACAATGATCGACGTTTAAAATGAAGAACTGTTCTAAGACCCTAGTTCTCCTAATTTCAATAAAAATTCTATAAAACACATTAATTTTTTATGACAATAGTATAGTCATAGTGTAGTGAATGAGAACACAGGTGGAGGCAACCGAATTGTATTTAACGAAAATTCCCGACCGAAGCTGCTACCTTGACGTGGTGGTCGGGCTTGCCTATCGTGATGACCCAACCGAGCTATACTGGCTGGAACATATGTTCCTGTAGGTCCTACCATGCCAGGCTGGTCGATTGGAGAACGATGAGACTAAAAGCAGCTGCCCAAGGTCTGGGGGCGAAGTCGTACTGCTGACTGCAGAGGGGTGTGACAGCAGTAAGGTGTTTCCCTCGGACAACCAGCATGTGCAGCGATGCTGCCTTCTCACAAGGAAGGAAGGGTTAGAAAAGGTCGGCCCTAAAAATGTCACACTCCCCCTAACTCACGGATTTCCGTCTCCTTGGGTAAGGGTGCCCACTAAGGGCCTTTAAGAACGGAGCTAATTCTCAAAATACCTTTCATAAAAAGGCCGTGCGTGACCGGCCTCAAGCAGTTGTCCCTTGGGCTCTGCGGTCACGCACCAACACTAATCCATCTTCCTTTTCAGGTCCCTCAAGAAACAACCTTCCACGGTGTGGGCAGCCGGGAAGTGACAACCGCCCTCATACCTGTTCCAGCACGCGAGACCAAATTGGTCAAAATCAAATCCTTCCTACACCCCCTAATGTCTCTCTTATCTCTACAACTAACTCTACTCACACTCCCTTTTCTCACTGCACCGCTAATGCAGACGAAGCGAGATCACGAAACGTCATTCCCGGTCTCTTGAAACCCCGTTCTAGACTACATATTGGAGCTTTTAATGTACGGACATTGTGTCAAATAGGGCAACAGGCATCATTAGCTAGGACTTTAGAAACTCGTGCCATCGATGTATGCTGCGTCTCGGAAACGCGCATACAGGATCCTAGTAAAGTCATTAACCTGATTCCACCTTGTCAAAACGAAGAAGCAGCTCGATTTACTCTTCGTGTATCCGGTAGCCCTGATGCTGCTTCCAGGGGTCTTGCTGGTGTAGGCATAGCGTTGAGTCCTAGGGCAGAATTATCTCTCCTAGACTGGATCCCAGTAGATAGTCGTTTGTGCGCTGTCCGACTAAACGGGACAGTAAGGACTCGGAAGGATAGGGACACTCGCCGTTGCCTCTTCGTCATATCTGCCTATGCCCCCACTGACTGCAGTGCAGACGAGGTTAAAGATGAGTTTTACAGAAAGCTTTCGGACCTCCTCCAAAAAGCTAAGCGCTCTGACATAGTAATAATGGCTGGTGACTTTAATGCTCAAGTAGGTAGGCTATGTGAAACGGAAAGACATCTTGGTGGATGTTATGGTGTAGCGACTGAGAGAACAGACAATGGTGACCGTCTGTTGCAACTGTGCTCAGATAACCGCCTATTCTTAGCGAACACCAACTTTAGGCATAAGGAAAAGCATCTGTTGACCTGGCGACCTCCAAAGTCGTCTCAACGTTGGACTCAACTAGATCACATCGCCATCAGCCACCGATGGAGGGGCTCGATAGAAGACTGTCGCTCGTTCTGGAGCACATGTTTAGATTCAGATCATGCTCTAGTGCGAGCTCGTATCTGTTTAAGGCTTACTGGACGTAGGAAAGACACCGTAAGAAAGCCTCTTAGGGTTTTACTTAATGATAATCAAACCAAGAAAATATTTCAGGAGCAACTAGAAAGAGAGTTAAGCAACCATGCAAGCGAGTCCCATCCAGAAGCAGGTTGGTGTGATATCAAAAAGGCTGTGGAAACAGCAGTGATATCTGCTAGGAAGGTAAACCATGAGGCTAGGATGAAGCCGTGGATTTCAGTCGGATCCACCGAACTGATGGATGCTCGAAAACGCATCCCACCTGACTCTGAGCATGATGAAGAGCGTAGTCAGCTTAGGCGTAGACTCATAAAAAGTCTGCGTAACGACCGCGAACAGTGGTGGGTGGCGAAAGCAAAAGCGATGGAAAAGGCAGCGGCGATAGGCAACACTAGACAACTTTTCCGCCTTATCAAAGAAACCGGTATTAAGAACCCGAATGTGAGTGAGACTATCTCGGAAAAGGATGGTCTTATTATCCATTCTCAATCTAGGAGGCTGGATCGATGGGCAGAACACTTTAGGGATCAGTTCAACTGGCCTCGAACCACTCTTCAGTTACCCACGATCTCCAGTCATCCTGAATGGCAAATCGACGTAAGTCCCCCTAGTCTTAATGACGTTGAGAAAGCGTTAGGAAATCTGAAACGAGGACGAGCTGCAGGTCCTGATAGACTGACCCCTGAGATATTCAGGGATGGTGGTCCAGTTTTAGCAGCTAGATTGACTGAGATCTTAGGTAAAATCTGGGAACTGGACGTAATCCCATCCGACTGGTCTCAATCACTGATTGTCCCAATCTATAAGAAAGGACAGAAGTCTTCTTGTGACAATCACAGAGGAATAAGTCTAACTAATATAGTATCTAAAATATTGGCCTCAATAATACTTCGACGCTTAACGAAAGCTCGTGAAGAGCAGACTCGAGAAAACCAGGCTGGTTTTCGACCTGGACGTGGCTGTATAGACCACGTCTTCACACTCAGACAGGTCCTGGAACATAGACACACATTTAGGCGTCCTACAATAGTTGTTTTCCTGGACCTTAAGGCGGCATTTGACTCTGTTGATCGTAAGGTTCTGTGGCAGTGTCTGTCATTGAAAGGTGTACCACAGAAGTACATTAACCTTATACAAGCTCTTTACTCGAACACCACTGGTCGGGTGAGGGCTTATGGCGAACTGTCACCGGAATTCTCTACATCAAGTGGTGTGCGTCAGGGATGTCCACTTTCTCCATTCTTGTTTAATTTTATCATAGACATGCTCCTAGAGTTAACATTATCCTCGTCTGAATTTTCAGGAGTAGACCTTCTTCCAGGTGGCTCGCTTATCGACTTGGAATATGCCGATGACATTGTCCTACTTGGTGAAGACGCTGACAAAATGCAGAGTCTTCTGACTACCCTAAGCAACAATGCAAGCATGTTCGGGATGCGGTTTTCCCCCTCGAAATGCAAAATGTTGCTTCAAGACTGGGTTGCATTGGCACCTGAACTAGTGATAGGGAGTGAAGTAGTCGAACGTGTAGACCGCTTCACTTATCTTGGGAGTCTCATCAGTGCCGATGGCCTGGTGACTGACGAAATCTCAGCTCGGATACAGAAGGCTCGATTGGCTTTTGCCAACCTGCGTCACTTATGGCGTAGGCGAGATATCCGTTTGCTGACTAAAGGACGAGTGTACTGCGCAGTAGTTCGCTCCGTCTTACTTTATGGCTGTGAAACATGGCCAGTGAGAGTAGAAGATATTCGTAGGTTACTGGTTTTCGATCATAGGTGTCTTCGAAGTATTGCTCGTATATCCTGGGACACCCGAGTGAGCAACGCTGTTATTAGGAATCGGGTGCTAGGTAAGAATGGCAGATCAATCGATGAAGTACTGAAACTTCACCAGTTGAGGTGGTTGGGACATGTGTTGCGTATGCCGAACCACCGGCTGCCTCGTCGAGCCTTGTTTTGTAGTGTGGGAATAGGTTGGAAGAAAGTTAGGGGCGGCCAAACCAAAACATGGCAGAAATCCATGAAGTCATTGACAAGTGGACTTAGCCATGTCGGTAATTGTCGACTACCTGGTTGGGGTCCGCGAGATGATAATAATCGATGGTTAGAGACCTTGAATGACATGGCTCAAAATCGTTCGCAATGGCGCCAGTGCATTTATTCTCTGTGTTCTCTCAAATCCTAATCTTCTGGATTAGCCAGCACCTCTACCTTTATCTTTCTAACCTTATTTCACTGAATTATATTTTTTGAATAATATCTTAAACCCTAGTCTTCTTTATTATAACATTAATACCTCTACCATCTTTATCACCGTGGGATTTGATTTGACATTTGCGTCTCTGTGCTAATAATGTGGTATGGCAACATGAACTTATGTACATACGTACGAAGTTCTACGTTGCAACTGACTGACTGACTAACGAAAATTACAGAGTTAGTCAGTAAAATCGGAAAACCATATCGTTAATCGTTCATTTGCAAAAGATCAGTTCATCCTATGGAACTGGACTGTTCCTGTTGCCAAACATCAATCCATTGTCACTCTTCATGCGTTTCATACAAATTCCATTGTTTTCTGACTCTTCCTTTCTTGATCTTACCCCCATATTATGCTACCAGACTTTACGTTGACACTCACGCTATATACTACTTATAAGTAGTTCGCAACACAGCACCACAATAGTATTTTTCTCAATTTAATTTTCATCATCCTTTTTCGTCTTAGTTTTACATAATCTTAACCCTACTAAAAATTGATCTTAAGATATTTTGATTGGACAATTAGCATAATTTATTCCATGATCTAAATTTCAACATTCATATGTAACCATTAATTATCCCGCAAGCAGGATTCGAACTCAGGACTTTTGGTCTCGCGTGCTAACTCTTAACCTCTAGACTTCTATTTAGCCGTTACCCAACAATGTTAATGTCTAACTTCGATCAATCCACCGAATTGCACGACCTCATCCATTGTCCTTCTTAGGATATTCATCCAATATCCTCAGAGAATTGTTGGTCAATTCCTATTGGTTAATTCCTACTGGTCAATTTTATGATCGTCCTAGATATCAATGTCACATCGTACTCCAATGTTGTTTCTTATTGCTTATCCTGACTGTCAATGTTACTTCAAATGTTGTTTTCTATTGGTCGCCTTAACTGTCAAGGTCACAGACCTCGATGCTGTTTCCAAAATGTATATATACGCATTAACTGTAACGTTTTATGACCAGGACCAGGACCCGGTCCCGGATCCCTAGTTCGGGATCCTGATTATCTTCTGGACTCAAACCTCGTACTTTCTGGACGCTTTTAGAATACATGTTCTACTTCATTTCAAGTCTTGTGTTCTTTTACTTAATATGGGGGTTGGGATAATCGGATTTGAGTAGCATGTCGTGTCGCCGGATCCTCGCTCTCGTTTTCCGACTAGGTAAACTCGTAATAAATAAAGCATATCAAAATGACGTGTTTATGTGCAGGAGTAACAGTCCTCAGTAGGTAGCTTCCTAAATTCAACCAAGCTGTATTCTACTGGTAACGGCTTCTTAATACAACTCCGAGTATTTCCTCACGAACCTAGTCATTAATGCGGATAATTTCAATGAAACTGAACAATCATAAAAATGTGCTTACTAGTGACAAAGTTTATGAGGAAACTCGGAGTTCTAGTGTAAAGTTGTGACTAGTAAAGTTCTACTCGCTCGAAGATGAGGCCGTTACCCTATGAAGACAATGAACAATGGTTGAACGATATGTTGGATTGACATTACCACTACTAGATTCCAACACATCGGTCAGGAGGTCAGATGTTTGCACATGAGTGAGGATGGTGGATTCGCACTTCTAAAGAGTCCATTCAGTGTTTCCAGGTTTCTAATATCAATGATCGCTTCATAATTTCAATGAAACTCAACAATCTTCACACTTATCGACTTAGAATATGCCGATGACATAGTCCTACTTGGTGAAGACGATGACAAAATGCAGTCTTCTGACCACCCTAAGCAACAATGCAAGCATGTTCGGGATGCGGTTTCCCCCCCCCTCCCGAAATGCGAAATGTTGCTCCAAGATTGGGTTGCATCGGTACCCGAACTAGTGATAGGGAGTGAAGTAGTCGAACGTGTAGACCACTTCACTTATCTGGAGAGTCTCATCAGTGCCGATGGCCTGGTGACTGACGAAATCTCAGCACGGATACAGAAGGCTCGATTGGCTTTTGCCAATTTACGCCGTTTACAGCGTAGGCGAGATATCCGTTTGCTCTCAAAAGGACGAGTGTACTGTGCAGTAGTTCGCTCCGTCTTACTTTATGGCTGTGAAACACGGCCAGTCAGAGTAGGAGATATTCGTCGGTTATTGGTTTTCGATCATAGATGTCTTCGAAGCATTGCTCGTATATCCTGGGACAACCGAGTGAGCAACGCTTTTATTAGGAAACGGATGCTAAGTAAGGATCGCAGATCAATAGATGAAGTGGTGAAACTTCATCAGTTGAGGTGGTTGGGACATGCAATACGTATACCTAACCATCAACTGCCGCGACAAACTTTGTTTTGTGGAGTAGGAGTAGGTTGGAGAAAGTTAGAGGCGGCCAAACTAAAACATGACACAAATCCATGAAGTCATTGACAAGTGGACTGAGTCATGTTGGTAGATGTAGGCTGGTTACCTGGTTGGGGTTCGCCAGACGAAATTCACCGATGGTTAGAGACCTTGAACGACATGGCTCAACATCGTTTGCAATGGCGCAAGTGCATCCACTCTTTGTCTCCTCTCTAATTCTAACCTTTTGTATTCCTCATAATCTCTCTCTTTCTCCTTCTAAATTTATCTCACTGAATTATACTTGTCGAATCATATCTTTGCTCGCTAATCTTCTCCACTGCTGCTAACAATTCTACTATCGCTATCACTCTTGGATATGAACTGACAATTACGTTTCTGTGCTGATGTGGTATGGCAACCTGAACTGATGTACTTATGTACGTAGTTCCATGTTGTATATGTCTATCTGTCTACCTGTCTGTTTGTCAACAATCTTCACCAATCAAAATCATGAAACAACCTATCTGATTATCATTCTTATCAATTTGTCAGTACAATACAATACATGTAGTGTAACTCACAATGAAAAAAAACAAACAAACTGTTCTTACCTGATATTTGTAATTCTGTATTACTACGAAATAATCTACCTTTCACTTGTTTATTTACGCATTGTTTGCTTAATTCTCCTGCACTCAATGTACTCGATTGATCTGCTAACATAGCATCAATATCATTCGATTTCGTTGAATCTTGTTTGCTTTTCAATCGAAACTGTTGACCTGATTGTTGTAATAAACGACCATGCACTTTATTACTATTACTGTTACTAGTACTAGTACTGTTATGTAACTTGTTGACAGACAAGTTAGATAAATGTTTGGCATTTGTCATATCCATTAAACATGATGACGAGGAGGAGGATAGTTCCGTGGTCATTGCATACATGTCATTTAATTGGTTGAATTGATTTTTCAGTGAATTTGATGTTGCCGCTGTCGATATCCATGTGGAATTATTACTGGGATTGGTACAACTACGTTTACGTACATCTTCAATTTCCAGGAGGATTTCTTCATGTCTTAATAATTGTAATGCACAACGTTTTTCAAGTTCTTTAATTTTGGACTTTGTATACATTTATGAAAAAAAAGTAAGGGAAAAATCGATCAAGGTTAGATCATCATGGAAAACTAGGAAGCATTGGACAGTTGTTATTTCGCATTTAAAATCATCAGTCAATCGTTGTTAGACCACTCCATTAGAAACCTGGAAGAACTGAAAGACGGCCGTTTCGTCGTGATATGGGACTTATCAGCAGTGCGCATCCATGACTCCCTCACCTCGCACGACTCGAACCCTTCGGTATTGTGCGCGAACACCAAACCATCGGACCACTGGGCCGGCATCCAACGGCGCTAGTGTCTAACTCTGATTGATCTACGTGTTTTGCCTACACCCGACAGGGTTGAACTCCACTGGTCACGTCTTCTCAACTAGAACTTCGAGAATTTCCTCACGAAGCTAGTCACTAGTGAGCACATTGGACTCATCAGAAGTACATATTCACGAATGTGTAATATTGCCTGACTATCTACTTATTGTCTTTGGTAGGTAACTGCCTCACATTAGATACGTTTGGAATCCGCTGGTCACAGCTTTACATTAGAACTATATCGTAGACTGATCGAATCTAGCAACTGACGCTGTTGTATACTGGCTGAGGTTAAGTGTTTACGCTCGAAACAAAAGGTCCTGTGCACTGCTGATGAGTTTCATACTACGATGAAACGGCTGTTCAGTGCTGGGATGATATTTGTAGCATACGAACAAAGCACCGAAACCCACGTTTGAAAATGGTGACACCACTTGAATTATCGTCCTTGGTCTGACATACATTGCTAATATAGTGTTGTCACTGAATGTTAGCAATCCTTTGGAGATAATGGTGATCCAACACTCAGAATCACCAAGCATCCTCAATTCAGAAAGGTGAGTTTCCACAGGCATAAAACAAAAGTGCACTCACCGATATGTTATAGACCATACTTTCCATACCTACACTAGATAGTTTTGGAGATAACCCAGGTTGGCGTACTCTACTGTGCCTTTCAACACACATAGATTATTCTCATTACTCGTATCACTACCAGCATTTATATATTACTAACCGGATGTATGAATATTTCGATAACTCCTAATGGCTCACCGCCAAGAATAAGTTCAGTTACAGGCTCCTGTTTGTCATGTAAAAGTACTTTGAACTTACTGAATACAAATTACACGCCATACCTACGGATATTGTTTCTGATAACTTAGTAAGTTCGATTAGCTCCACACAGTACATTAATATCATCATAATTCTCAAGATCGAAAAGTCTCTCTTGTTTGGTAACTGATCCACACCACCAATACCCTACTTCAACAACAACTATGTTCAGAATATAATTAATTGGAAATATGAAGAAAAGTAGTGAGATTGAGTAATCCTACAAAAATCCACTACTCGAATAGAACATTTAAAACAAGTGGTTTTATGTCATCATTCAGCCTGTGGTGTTTGTTTGTAGAGCCCTCAGAATAATAATAAAATCCTCCGGAACACAGATCTCCAAAAGACAATGCCAGAGTATATTCCTTTTCAACGATTTGAAGGCTATCATAAGATTAGGAAATATAACAACTGTTATTCTACAGTATGCATTACAATGTCCAAACACTGGTAGGTGATAATGTGGTGCGTGAGTGTCAACGTAATGTCTGGCAGCAGAAGATGGGGGAAGATCAAGAAAGGAAGAGTGGGGGGAACACAATGGAATTTGTATGAAACGCATGAATAGTAGTGACAATGGATTGATGTTTTGCAACATGGAACAGTCCAGTTCGATATGATGGACTGATATTTTGCAAATGAACGATTTACGATATGGTTTTTTCGATTTTACAGAGTAACTCTGTAGTTTTTTTTGTTAAATACAATTCGGTTGCCCTCACCTGTGTTCTCATTCATTAAAATAATATAATCGATACATCCACAACGAGAACAAAATCAGTATCTTAATCACAAGTTAATGTTCTCCAGGTTTTGAACAATCAGTGAAGCATGATAGAAGTCAGTAGTTCAGATGCAATCACCCACAGGCTTAACCCACTCTTGCATAGACGATGTAGGCCATTTAAAAAAGAGGGGACGGCAGCCGCTTCATTTTGAAATGTTGGAACACACTCTACTTCCTAAACCTTTTCTAAAAACCTATTCACTCCGCTTATCAGAAGCTTACCACCCTCCATAAAAAGAGCTGCAGGGTAGTCGTCTGGTCTTGGTTACTTGTTGCTCCCCAAGAGCTGGAATTCAGTATGGACCTCTCATTACCGAAACATAAGTTTGATGGATGGTGCTGAGGCAGCAAACTGGTTAAACCTTCCATTGAATTTTTCTTATCATTGGTCAATAAGTCTTTGAAGGTAGAAGAAAAGCTGTATCGAGAATCGCATTTAATGGAACCATTCTATACATCAGTAAGTCGGAAAACTGAGATCGTTCAGACAGGACATGACTTCTACCATAGACGAATTTCTGAGTGAGTTTAAAAATCAGAGTACATAAAATATGAATAAAGGAGAATATTTCAATTGGAGGCAACGAACTCTACCTCAACCCTCAGGAGTACTAGAGAATCAGGAGGCGTGCTCCGTTAGAAAAACTGCCGCCTTACTTGATGCGAAATACTTACTAAAGTAAGTTAGAAAAGAAAAGGGGAAGTTCAAACAGCATAAGAGTCTATGTAGGGTGTGCCTATTCCTTACCAATCAATCTGAATCTCATAGATTTTAAGATTCTCTTGTATCCTTAAACTTTACTTCATACAGAATTTCAAAATTTGCTAATCGATTATATGCGACTAAATATCAAATCACCTCATCCGTGATACATGCTCATGTGTGATTAGGTGAAGGAATCATTCATTATTTCCAGTGTAATGTTTCTCACATTTGAAGCAAATTATTTGGTTAACGATATTTATCTTTATTTGCTTTTAATATCTCTCTCGATTTGTACAAAATAAAGTGAAATTGTTAAGATATTCACCAAATATCCTACGAAAAATTAGTTTGTAAGTGTGCATTCTATTGGTCGATTCCTATTGGTCAATATTATGATCGTCCTAACTATCAATGTCACATACTTCAATGTTGCTTCCCATTGGTCGTACTAACTGTCAATGTCACTTCAAATGATGTTTCCTATTGGACGTCCTAAGTATTAATGTCACAGACTTCAATGTTGTTCCTACTCAACCTAACTGTATAAATACGCATTATCTGTGACGTTTTATGACCCGGATACCTAGTTCGGGATCCTTGCCTTCTTCTGGACTTGGACCTCGTACTTTCTGGATGCTTATAGAATACAGTTTCTTCTTCATTTCAAGTCTTCTTATTCTACTCACTGTGGGTGGGGGTTTGGGACATTCGGATTAGAGTAGCATGTTTTGTCGCCGAATCTTCGATCCTCGCTTTGGTTTTCCGATTAAGGTAAACTCGTGATAGTTCAAGCATATCAAATTACTTGTTTACATACATGCATAACAGAAGTGAAATAACTGCACAGACTATAAAGAATTATACGTTCCAAAGGGTTTCAAGATCACTGAACAGTTGTAAATGAATCGTCTAACTTATATAAATGAAACCTCAATCAGAAAGACTACGACGACAGCTTATTAAAAGGGGGGACGAGTGTGGTGCGCGCTACTTATAAGTAGTATATGACGTGAGTGTAAACATAATGTCTGGCAGCAGCAGAAGATGGGGGAAGATCAAGAAAGGAAGAGTTAGAACTAAACATTCGTAAATGAATCGTCCAATGTGCATATTAACAAAACATTGAATGAATTTTTCATAAAAGTACGCAATTAACTTACACGAATTTGTTTTACAGCTTCTTTAGATTTAGAATCTTCAATGTCCTAAACAAAACAAAAAAATTTTTTAAATGAAATACACAACAAAAAAATTATTCAATTCAAATTATTTGAAAATGAATTCAAGAAATTCTAAACAATAATTCATTATAAATAATGTGTAAAAATGTAGATAGTATTCTAGTTTATTGTTTTTAAATGAATATTATTACTTAAATATAACAATGCTCGTTATTTTGCAACATCCTCAATATTCACTATGGTATTATGGAGAGTATAGAGCTTCATTGAGTCACTCAGTCTGTAAGTTGCAACGTAGAACTTCGTACGTATATACATAAGTTTAGGTTGCCATACCACATGAGCACAGAGAAGCAAATGTCAAATCAAATCCTATAATGATAGAGATACTAGAGGTATTAATGGTAATGAAGAAGACTAGGGTTTGAAGATATTATTCAAGAAATATAATTCAGTGAAATAAGGTTAGAAAGACAAAGGTAGAGGTGTTGACGAATCCAGAAGATTAGGATTTGAGAGAGCACAACGAATGGATGCACTTACGTCATTGCAAACGATTTTGAGCCATGTCGTTCAAGGTCTCTAACCATTGGTGAATTTCGTCCCGCGGACCTCAACCAGGTAGTCTACATCTACCAACATGACTCAGTCCACTAATCAGTGACTTCATGGATTTCTGCCATGTTTTGGTTTGGCACCCCATAGCTTTCTTCCAACCTACTCCTACACCACAAAACAGCTCGTCGAGGCAGTCCGTTGTTAGGCATACGTAACACATATCCCAACCTCCTCAACTGATGAAGTTTCACCACTTCATCTATTGATCTGCCATCCTTACCTAGCACCCTTTTCCTAACGATAGCATTGCTTACTCAGCTATCCCACGATATACGAGCAATGCTTCTTAAACATCTATGATCGAATACTAGTAACCTACGAACATCTTCTACTCTTAATGGCCATGTTTAACAGCCATATAAGAGAACGGAATGAACTGCTGCGCAGTACACCCGCCCTTTGGTTAGCGAACGGATATCTCGGCTACGCCATAAGTGACACAGGTTGGCAAAAGCCATTCGAGCCTTCCGTATCCGAGCTGAGATTTCGTCAGTCACCAGGCCGTCAGAACTGATCAGACTCCCAAGATAAGTGAAGCGATCAACACACTCGACTACTTCACTCCCTATCACTAGTTCAGGTGCCGATGCAACCCAATCTTGAAGCAACATTTTGCATTTCAAGGGGTGGTGGAATCCGCATCCCGAACATGCTTGCACTGTTGCTTAGGGTGGTGAGAAGACTCTGAATTTTGTCAGCGTCTTCACCGAATAGAACTATGTAATCGGCTGAGCTTCATTGAAATCATGAAACGATCAATGTTAGACCAGCATTAGAAACCGGCGAACATCGGATGGCTGTTTCAATCAGATTATGGATGTGACACATCAGCAGTGTGCATTCAAGATCATCACACACACACACACCCCGCAATCGAACCCAGAACCTTCAGCCTCACTCGTGAACACTTAACCTCTGAACTTCTACATAACGGTTACCCAATGTAGTTAATATCTAACTTCGATCAATCCAAAGTTTTATGCAACTTCATTCCTTATCTTCGTTGAGTACTGCTTTACACCTGAACAAAATTGAATCTTACTGGTTACGACTTCTCAGCGGAACTCTAAGAAACTTCCTCACGGAACTAGTCACTGGTGAGCGGATGATGATAATTTTCACTATAGGGTTGTGGAGATTGTAGATTAGATAATGAGACAATATTGTAGGGTCATGCATGTACATTGTTGACGAGTCTTGGACTTTTGAGAAAATGCCATCCAACGATTCTAGGTTTTCAATGATTGTCTAACATTGATCGATTCATGATTTCAATAAATAAATCGATCACAACGATATAAGCAAATAAATAAATATCTATAGCTTTAAATGAAGATATAAAATTTTTGGACGAAATGAAATATCAATATTAACTAATGCATGTTCAGTATACTACATTGTATTGATAACAAGAAACAGACTCAAATATTGAGATTTATTATACTTGCATAATCGCTTACTGACCTAGAATATGCCGATGACATAGTTCTATTCGGTGAAGACGCTGACAAAATTCAGAGTCTTCTGACTAACCTAAGCAACAATGCAAGCATGTTCGGGATGCGGTTCTCACCCTCGAACTGCGAAATGTTGCTTCAAGATTGGGTTTCATCGGTACCTGAACTAGTGATAGGGTGTGAAGTAGTCGGGCGTGTTGATCATCGGCGCTGAAAACCTGGTGACTGACGAAATCTCAGCTCGGATACAGAAAGCCCGAGTTGCTTTTGGCAATTTACGCCGTTTATGGCGTGGGCGAGATATCCGTTTGCTAACCAAAGGATGAGTGTACTGCGCAGCAATTCGCTCCGTTCTCCTATATGGATGCGAAACATGGCCGTGAAGAGTAGAGGACTTCCGTAGGTTACTAGTCTTTAACCATCGTTGTCTCCGAAGCATTGCTCGTGTATCCTGTGACAACCGAGTAAGCAATGCTGTCGTTAGGAAACGAGTTTTAGGTAGGGATGGCAAATCAATAGATGAAGTAGTGAACCTTCATCAGTTGAGGAGGTTGGGACATGTGTTACGTATGCTTAACCACCGACTGCCTCGACGAGTTATGTTTTGTGGTGTAGGAGTAGGTTGGAAGAAAGTTAGGGGTGGCCAAACCAAAACATGGCAGAAATCCATGAAGTCACTGACAAGTGGACTGAGTCATGTTGGCACATGTAGGCTACCTGGTTGGGGTGCATGAGACGAAATTCACCAATGGTTAGAGACCTTGAACGACATGGCTCAAAATCGTTTGCAATGACGTAAGTGCATCCATTCGTTGTGCTCTCTCAAATCCTAATCTTCTGGATTCGTCAACACCTCTACCTTTGTCTTTCTAACCTTATCTCACTGAATTATACTTCTTGAATAATATCTTCAAACCCTAGTCTTCTTCATTACCATTAATACCTCTAGTATCTCTATCATTATAGGATTTGATTTGACATTTGCTTCTCTGTGCTCATGTGGTATGGCAACCTGAACTTATGTACATATGTACGAAGTTCTACGTTGCAACTGACTGACTAAAGATTACTTCTCTTCACCCTGTAAAATCCTATGAAATTGAGGTTTTAGAGGCTTTTATTACTTGGTTTACTATTCGTCAATTATTATTTCCGATTATCTTTCCTCTTGTTAAGATGAAATTCAGGATCTGTTTATCATTAAAATGACTATTGTGAATCACTGCATGTTAACTTATGTGCAATGAAGCAACATTTGTTACCAATATGAAATGTTGTCTATTTTTAAAAAATTTGGTTATACTTTGATCGGTACGAAAGTAAAATTCATCTCTGATAAAATATCTACTTTAACAGTTCATCTTGGATTCCTTTTAACATAGTTTACGGAATAACACAATTCTGATGTCAGAGTTAGTGTACCATCTTTAAATTTTCCCTTCTTAATTTAAAATCAGTGACCTTTCTAACTTCCGGGTTCGTATCCTGCGAGGAGCAGGAGTCGTGGATGCGCACTGCTACTGATGAGTCCCATACATTGGGACGAAACAGCCGTCTTCTAGTGCTTATTCCAGGTTTCTAATGGAGTGGTTTAACAATGATTGACTGATGATTTCAATGTGTGTGTGTAAAAGCACTAATCTCCATAACTCAATTTGAAAAAAAATACATTTGACTATTCAATGAAAATATTTAAGAATCCTTATTGCATTCTTACCTGATTAACATGTATTTTCTCGTCGTCATCATTATTATTACTAATGACATAATCATTACAACGACCATCAATATCAACATCATCAACATCATCATCAACATCCCGATCACCATCGCCATCACCAACACCACCATCATGTTCATGATCATCAATAATGGTAGTAGCATCAACATCATTGACAGATCGTTGTAATAATTTATCAAGTTGTGATTTTAACACAGCACGTTCATGAAGTAATTGTTGTCTCAATTGAATAACATCATGTAATTTCTATGGAAAAAATTAGTCAAGAGAAATAATTATTTATTTACTATTAACAATTGAATTATTATTTGTAAGTGTAATTTGTTTCAGTTCACATTACCAACATAATGATATTGAATAAGTAAGAAGCCTGGAAGTACCGGATGGCTGTTACGAACATGTTTTTGGGACTCTGTTATGCCGTTATGACGTAAACACGTCAACTTGATACACTTGAACTATTTATTACGAGTTTACCTGAATCGGAAAACGCGAGAATGAGGATCAAGGATCCGGTGACACGACATGCTACTCAAATCTGATTATCCCAACCCTCATATTGAGTACAAAATAAGAAGACTTGATATGAAGTAGAACGTGTATTCTACGAGCATCCAGAAAGTACGAGATTCGAGTCCAGAAGAGAATCAGGATCCAGGACTAGGGATCCGATACCGGGTTCTGGTCGTGGTCATAAAACGTTACAGATAATGCGTATTTATACATTTTGGTCGAACGGGAAACATCATCGAAGTCTATGACATTGACATTTAAGACGACCAATAGGAAGCAACTTTTGATGTGACATTGATAGTCAGGACAACCAATAAGAAACAACATTGGAGCACGTGACATTGATATCTAGGACGACTGTAAAATTGACCAGTAGGGATTAACCAATAATTCTCTTAGGATATTGTATGAATATCCTAACAGATTCTTCAGAAGTGCTCATCCATGGTCCTCAAATATTCGAACTGAACCTTGGATCATTAGTCTTACGCGCGAACGCCTAACCTCCAGCCCACCTAGTGGATATCCAATGTTGCACAACCTTCATCCATCGTTTGCAGTGAATTACTGTTGTAACGCTGCTACGTATAGCTATTCAGTCCTAGCGGCGTCCAATTCAAATATCCCAATACGACCCAAAATGCTATTTCCAAATCTCCTAGATATTAGAACGCAACACCGTGGGATGGAGGTGTTTATTGGGTCGAATACAGAAGAGAGGTAGGCAGGAGAAACGGAATTGGGATCGGAATCCTGAAGACTTACAGATACTGCGTATTTATACATTAAGGTCGAATAAGAAAGAGCATCAACGTCTGTGACTTTGACAGTTTAGGACGACCAATAGAAAAGAACATTTGAATGACATTGACAGTCCAGATGACCAATAAGAGGCAACATTGAAGTGTTTGACTTTGACAGTTAGAACGACCATAATTTCGACCAATAGGATTGTACTTCTAAAAATAGTATTCTTAGGATATTTGGTAAATATCCTAACAATTACTACCTCCTACCCGATACGGATTGAACTGCATTGGTCACGCGAATGATGGAAGTCATACATGAGAAGATTTGGTAGTTGGCAGTGTGATCTAGAGGTGAAGTGTTCGTGCGCGAGACTAAAGGTTCCAGGTCGGAGTCCTGTGTGCGCACTTTTGAGGAGTTCCATACTAAGAAGAAATGGCCGTCCAATACTTCCAGATTTCTAGCGTAGACCAATTCGTGATTTTTAACACTGAAAATCATACAATCTCCAGAAAAACACCTTTCATTCATCATCAGTAGGGTGGTAGTCAGGACTACATACAACAGAGTCAGTTAGACGATAAAAATAGAAACTTATCAAAGACAGCTTGACTCCACTTTCCTTATATTTCATTACTTTTCGAGAGATATTCAAAGACGTTTGAACAACGTATGTATGTAAGAGATGGGAATGTGAACCAATCTAAAGTATGTAATGAAAATCGTCTATAAAAATTTGTAGACTATGAGTCATTCATCAATCAGTGTTATTCACTGTTTTGACCATTGAGTTACATAACCTGGTCTGTAGTATGTGATGAGTAACATTAGAATCATACATTACATCATACAATTCTATCATCTTTCAATCAGATCATCATCATCAGGCTTTCCTGTCTTAATGTTACATGAATATTTATGTGAAAAAGAGGTTGAACCAATCAAGGTAATTTATGAGTCATTCATTGATCAGCATGAAACAGATTACGTAACTACTTCACCCAAAAAGGGAACAGTTGATAGTAGAAAGATAGGTGTACTATAAGTAGTAAGAATGATAGAAAACAATAGTTACGTAACTAACTTATCGGAATAATGAATCGATCATTGTTAGACTAGCATTAGAAAATTTGAAAGCACTGGACGGCCATGTTACGAGTCCTACACTAGGACGAAACAGATGTCCGGGGGCTTCCAGGCTTCGAATGGATGCCTAACACTGATTAATTCAACAATCTATACAACTCTATTGATAACATTTAACAATTGAAAAATGAAGTTGGCATGAATTTAAAATTACTTGTAGAGTTTTTTCCATTTGATATTCATAGGACATATTTTCAGGATTGTTTTGATCAATCATATTTGATAGGTTGTTTAAAGAACGTTCAATTTTCAATTGACGAGCATATTTCTAGAGGAAAAAAAAACACAAAAGAAAGTATATACTGAATAAAAGAATCGAATTATGAAGATGACCTGAAGTTTACTGGAGTTGGTAACTCCGCTTGAAGTGCTTTCAGGGCTACTGCTGCTCCCAAGCTAAAATAAAGGAGAAGGGTTAACGACGCCATCCTGTAGAAAACCAAATTGTTCAAAAAACGTTTACTAGAGTTTATAGTCAAGATCCGTTCAAATTAATTAAAGTATATATTGTAATGATCAACTGCTTTTAATTTTTATCGGATTAGTAAGAAACAACGTACTGTGGGAAATCAGGAAGAAGTGGTGGAAGTGGATAGGACACACTCTGCGAAAAGCACCTAACTGCGTCATAAGACAAGCTCTCACATGGAACCCTCAAGGTAAAAGGAAAGGCGGAAGCCCAAGGTATACATTACGCCGAGAAATAGAGAAAGATTTAAGAAGAATGAACGAAAATTGGACAGAACTGGAAAGTGAAACCCAGGACACATTCCTGTTTTAAATAGACAATACTTGACTAGTTAACAGAATTAACCAAGCGTATCAAGGACTTTCATTTAAAATCTTACAATCTATTAAGATGTTAACTAGTAGAAAGTTTCAAATGAAAACAGTTCAGTTCTTGATAACATTTCCTTTCTCATTTCTTCTGTGTGAAGCGATAACTAGCTTGAGATGTATTTGTTAGTGAAAATCGATAAATTGTTATTTTTCCAAACGATTTTGATTAGAATTTACCTTGAACAGAAATTTATTGTAGTAGTGTATAATCGACGAGGAGAATACCTTATTGTAGCGAACTTCACAGTACAATTAATCAATAAATCAATATTATTGAACGCTTTTTTTCCCCTTGGTTTTTAAAAAGTACAAACTCTAAGCTTTTATCCAATTCTAAGTATAGTCAGTATGAACGTCGGGATGGTTGACAGACAGACAGATACAACGCAGAACTTCGTACGTAAGTACAACTGTTCAGGTTGCCATACCACATCAGCACAGAGACGTAACTGTCAGTTCAAATCCAAGAGTGGTAGAGATAGTAGAATTACTAGCAGCAATAGAGAAGTTTAGGGAGGGAAGATATGATTCGAAAAGCATCATTCAGTGAGATAAATTTAGAAGGAGAAATATAGAGATTATGAGGAATTCAGAAGGTTAGAATTAAAAAGCACATAAAGAGTGGATGCACCTGCGCCATTGGAAACAATTCTGAGCCATGTCATTCAAGGTCTCTAACCATTGGTGACTTTCGTCTCGTGGACCCCAACCAGGTAGTCTACATCTAGCAACATGACTCAGTCCACTTGTCAATGACTTCATGGATTTCTGCCATGTTTTTTGGTTTGGCCGGATGGTTTATACAAACTCCACATATACTTTGATAATAATCATACTCATAATCAATATCGAAAAGTGTTAATCTATCTGGTTAACCAAAAGAACACAGTGTAACTTTCAATCCGTAAAAAAAGAAAAACAATTCTGATTAATTTAGGTTACGTAACTTAACTCAAATGATTATTCAATATCATTAACATTAAATTGTCTTGTTCATTCAGAGAGTAAGTACATTAATAAGATAGGTCGAATATATTATGAATTCAAAATTCAATAACTTCAGTAAATAAATTTATATTAAACGTATAGTTTCGTTTCCTTTTACTGCATAATAACCTTTCTACTTGTACTATAATCCTTTAATTGTAATAGGCAATAGAATTATTCTTTAAAAAGATGGGTTTTTTTTTCACGACCTGACCCTTCTATCTACGAACGTTCGAGTATGCTTTGTGTTAGGATATTCATCAAGTATCCTAAGAGAAAATTACTTTTGGAAGTCTAATTCTATTGGTTGATTTCCTACTGGTCAATATTATGGTCGTCCTAATTGTCTATGTCACATAATTCAATGTTGGTTCCTATTCGACCTAACTGTAGAAATACACATTTCCTGTAACGTTTTATTAAACGGACACGGATCATTAGTCCGGGATCCTTATTCTCTTTTGGACTCGAACCTCGTGCTTTGTCGATGCTTGTAGAATACAGGTTCTACTACATATCAAGTCTTCTTCTTTTACTCAATGGGGGTTGGGACACTCGGATTAGAGTAGCATGTCGTGTCGCCGGATCCTCGATCCTCACTCTCATTTACTGACTAAGGTAAACTGGTAATAATTCATGCATATCAAATTGACGTGTTTACGTGCATGCGTAAAACTATGAAATAAATCTTCCATTCCATTTCCGCATATCATACCTAGCTCAACACCATTTAAGCCATGGTGGCTATAAGTATCCGAATACAGTTTTGTGGATCAACTTATTTCATGAAATCATTTGCACAGACAGACATGAGAACGCGACGCGTAAAGAAGAAGCCAAGCAGCCAAGTGAAGGTGGCAAACAAGCCACTTCAATGCGATGAAGCATAGTCAAACAAAAAATAATCTAGACACATATAATCAACGAAGTGAGAGTGCACATACACACACAAACAACAATCACCAAGGTCATGAACGAATAATAGACAAGGTCAAAGGACAAGAGAATAACGATTTGGCAAGAATGGAATGATTAAACTGTCCAAAGACTGAGAGACAAGCCCTGTGGACTCAATAAAAAAGTACATACATGGTAAGGCGTTCGCCTACAATGCCGAAGGTCCCCGGTTCGAATCCTGTGAGGAGCAGGAGTCGTGGATGCGCACTGCCGATGAGTCCCATACCAGGACGAAACGGCCGTCCAGTACTTCCAGGTTTCTAATGGTGGTTTAACAATGATTGATTGATGATTTCAAATGTGTAAAAACTCAAACCTCCAAAACTCTGCCCCAAAAAAGTACATTCAACAAAACCGATAAGAACTACAGTATATAAACCGTTAGGAATAAATAAACACCTAAACCGAAACTAGCTAGTTTACTCTCATTCCTACCTTTTCAGTCTCATTAATTGGTAAGAATATTTAAAAATCAATAACTAATTTGTGTGTTTAAAGAAAACCCTACTTGTACTCAGATAAACAATGCGACAATTTTTTTAAAAAAAAACCTGACATTTAAAACAAATCTAAAATGATCATTGAAAAATAAATGGTATACAAATGTGTTTTATTCAAGTTATTTCCGTCAACATAAATTTTCTTTCTATATAGGATTATCATTTGAAAACCTGTAAGCAGTAGAAATCTTGAACCTTATCGAGGATTAAAGTTTGAAAAGTTGACTTTTAAATTCAATCATTTCAAATATGTTTATATTAGAACAATGATTAGAAAACAAGAAAATTTTTTAACTCAATTCAATCAATCAATCAATCAATAGCAACGTAGAACTTCATACGTACGTACGTACGTACGTACATCAGTTCATGTTGCCATACCACATTATTAGCACAGAGATGTAATTGTCAATTCAAATCCTATAGTAGTAGAGGTAGTAAAGGTATTAGCAGTAATCGGAGAGATTAGGGTACGAGGATATTATTCAAGAAGTAGAAACTGGTGAAATAAACTTAAATCGAAAAAGATAAAGGTGATGAGGAATTCAGAAGATTAGGATTTGAGAGAACACAATGAATGAATGCACCAGCGCTACTGCAATCGGTTTTGAGCCAAATCGTTCAAGGTCTCCAACCATCGATTATTATCGTCTCGCGGACCCCAACCAGGTAGTCCACACCTACCAACATGACGCAGTCCACTTGTCAATGACTTCATGGTTTTCTGCCATGTTTTAGTCTAGCCGCTACTAGCTTCCTTCCAACCTACTCCTACACTACAAAATAAAGCTCGTCGAGGCAGTCGGTGGTTAGGCATATGCAACACATGTTCCAACCACCAGAAACAATAAACTACATCTCACATATTATCTTTCTACTTACAACGATCTCCTTTAATAAAGAAAATATGAACAGATAAAGAGATCGTTAGACATAGCAATCGTAAAAATATTTTATTAGTTAAAGTATACCGGTTATTATGTTGATTAAAAAAATAAAATTACATTCAGTATACAAGACAAAAAAATCAATAAATGATGACCATGCGCTTTCAAATTTCAGCGATACAACAATGTAGAATTATTGGTAAACGTTGTAATTTTTATTGCAGAAAAGATAAATGCATCTAAAAGTTTATTACCAGTTTAAACATCCTACATTGGAGATCAGTAGGAAATAATGAAGTAGATCTAGTTGTAGATGTAAAACTCCACATAGAGATTAAAGAGAGATATCCTCGAAACTAAGATGGAACGATCGTCCAGTGATTTCAGGTCAGTCAGGAATACACAAACACAAAAGACATTGACCCAATTTATCAATCAGTCAGAAAAATCCTAAGCAAAGATAGGATCAAGAAACAGATCAAAGGTTAGTAACAACCAATCAAGATAAAGGTTAACAGAACGAGCTACGGGTCATACGTGGCGAAATTCTAATACTTCCCTACTTCTAACTGAAGTTTGTGCTGATGATGTTATGCTCAGGAAAAGAACAATGAAAGCTTCACAACCAAAACATCCATCTTGAAAAACGAAACTCCACTGCACTAAATTCAGGTTCCTAATGGTTGTCTAACTTTGATCAGTTCATGTTTTGTTGAAACTCAACAATTTCCACAACTTTATGCTGACAGTTATCAAAGTCTCACTTATGCCAGCTTCGTGAGAGGATTATAAGAGTACTAGTGAGAAGCTGTAACTCATGGAGTTCAACCATATCGAGTGTGAGACAGTTACTCACCGAAGAAAATAATAAATAATGTCAAAATATTGAGGGGTCATCCATAGGCACGGCTGATGCTACTTACATTTTAGCGAAACTGTGGTGCGAGCTACTTATAAGTAGTATATGACGTGAGTGAAAACGTAATGTCTGGCAGCAGAAGATGGGGGAAGATCAAGAGAAAGGAAGAGTTAGAAAACAATGGAAT